TATACAGGAGTTTCTCCAAAGTTAAGATCCAGGGTAAAACCATGAATTTCCCACTCATTTGTTTTAAAGATATATAGCTTTATTAAATACTTGAAATATTCAAAGATGTTTGATTGTTTTTTCAAGTAACCTTCACCAAGCAGTATAACTCATTTGTAATCAGAAAAAGAATTATAGGACTTCTCTAAAAAAATTCTTGCTTAGACAAGGCAGAAACAAAAATTAATGCATTTCTGAGTGCAGACACTCTTCATCTTTTTGTGTCTACCTTTTTCCAGTTCTACAGTTATGTGAGTGATGGCTCCTGTTTTCTTTTCTCCTTGAGAGCTTACTCCCACTCATTTCCAGGGAGCTGAGTCTATAACTAGGCTTTATTCCCCTGATTCTCCCCAGCTGAAGTATTTTTCCAAACTGCTCTTGTCATTGATGCTTTCAGAAATTGTTTTAAACAGACCCTGTGTTTCTTCCCACTAAATTTGTAAAGCAAAGATTTTGAACATTGAGATAAACTGATAGGATAGAATTGAGGTGAAAGGGACTCTGGAGTCCATTTGAAACAACTCTTCCATTTTCCCCATGAGGGAACTGATCCCTGGGGAACTTGAGGGATTTGGGCAAGGTCTATAGGAGCTGTAGAGCTGCAGTCACAACCAAGCTCTCCAGAGCCACAGACAGTACCTTGCACTGCTCCATGCTGTGATCTCCTGCTTAGCGGTTACCATGAGCTTGGCCTTGCCAGCTCCAGAGCTATGAGCAGAGCCAGAGCTCACCAGCAGAGGCTATGTCATTGGAACCAGCCCAACCAGTTTGCTGGTTTAGAAACAGGAATGGCTCCAGGGTGATGACAAAGGGGTAACAGAAGAGGCTTTTCTCCCTGGTAAGATNACCAGTAACTAATTATACAGATAAAATAAATTCTTTGACATAATACTAGTTATTATACCCATGTTGTCAGATGTCTCCAAAATGATTTCTAAATTGTTTATCTGTTTCCAATTTATTATCTTTTTCTTTAAACACGTAGGGTGTAAGAAGTTTGAAATGTTCCTATTTTGAGCCTCGATATATCCTGGTGGTGCCCATGAACAAGGAAAAATATGAGGGATACTTGAGGAGAAAAGGACTATTCAGTCGTGCAGAAATTGAATTTGCCGTCTCCAGAGTGAACCTTTATATTAAAATTAATCAGAAATGGCCAGGATATTTTGATGCAGTAATCAATGCAGGTCAGTAACTTTCAACAAAGTTTTATTTTTGAAGTACAAGGTCACCAGATTAAAAGTTTATTTCCTGGGAAGAAAATCCTTCGGTAAAACGTATTTTCCTTCTAACAATGAGTCACAAACAGCTGCAAAAAGGGCTAAGAATCCAAGAGGTCTAACCTTCCACTTTTTTTTTTTTTTCGTTAAATTTTTATTTTGTCAATATACAATGTATATGATTATTATNATGTCATTGGAACCAGCCCAACCAGTTTGCTGGTTTAGAAACAGGAATGGCTCCAGGGTGATGACAAAGGGGTAACAGAAGAGGCTTTTCTCCCTGGTAAGATCTCTATCTTCTGGTGCTCCAAAGATGCCTTTTGAAATATAGAATTTAAATAAGTTTTCAGTGGTAAAATTGCAAAACTGCTGGGAATGTATGTCTTATATCCAGCAATTTTCCTTTAATAGCTGCATTCATTAGCATGATTAATTAGAGGATGACCAGATGGAATGAATTCTAATAT